GGGGGCGGGGAGCAGCTCCCTGGGGAAGCGCCTGGGCTGGGGTCGCTGTCGGCGCTGAGGAGTTGGGGCCCTCCTCCCCCCGCCGGAGACTGCGCTATAGCACTTGGAGCCCGGTGCCCTAAAACGGAGAAACTCCCGTTTTTGCGGGGCTTATGAGGAGTAACGGATCGCCGGGTTTTAAAAACCTTAAAGATGTTCACGTGGTGCTTAAGTTGTTAATCTCCTAATGAGGAAACAACGCCCGCTCTTGGGCTCCGGACGCGTGGGGCTGGGAGGCTGAGGAATCGCTGCTTTTTGGTGGTTTAACCCCCAACGAGCCGGGGTTTGCTGCGTGCTGTCCCCTGGCGTTTCGTTTCCTTACCTGAGCCAGATTGGCGTGCTCAGAGCAGGCTGCCTTGGCAAATACAGCAGGTTTTTGCCCCAGAACTCGGCAGGCTCTGTCTAGACCTGGTGCAGGTGAGGGCTGTGTTTTGCTGCAGGGGCAGGCTGCTGCTCCTGGCTGTTCAGCGGATTGGGCACTGAAAAATGTGTGGCCTGTTTGTGATATCTGGGCTTATTTCGGTGTGGTAGAGCCAAACCCAAGGAGCGGGAGGATGCAGTGACAGAGGTGTCCACTCCGGTATTTCCTTGCGGCAGAGTTGCGTTTCAACCCTGCAGAGCTGGAGGGCAGGGGGGAGAGTCCTCTCCGTTCGCCCTTAGGACACAATGTGAGTTTAATGAACCAACCTGTGGCCGTCTGTGTGGCTGCTCCCTCTGCTGTGCCTGGCCGTCTCCTGAAGGGACTGAAAGCCATCTCCATCCTCCCAAGGCAGAGCCGCAGGGATTGTGCTGTGTCTGTGCCCTGCCCTGGCTGCAGGTGCTTGGACTGGTGTGGAATGATGCTGCTGGATGGAGGAAGCAGAGTGGGGCTGGACAGGGAGGGGTTGTGCCCCTCATCGGTGTTTGGGCTTGGCTTTATGACCCTGTGAGGGTTGGTCCTTTTACCCTGTGTGGTCTGGGGAGCGCCTGGGCCCCGTGCCCTGGGGGGAGGCAGAGGTGTCCTGGTGGTTGTGCAGTGACTACCTGGGTGTGCAGAACTGGAGGGGATCGTTGATTTTGGAGCTATTGGTGGAAACGGCAGAAGGTGTCAGAGCCTCAGCTGCCACCTCTGAGGCTGGGAAACGCTGGCTGTGCCTGGGGGGGAGCGTCCTGGGGGGCCCTGCCATGCTGCTCTGTGCCCAGCCCAGCCCCATGGGTGCTGTTTACACTGTGGGGCCTCCTCCTCCGCTGGGGCAGAGCTTGTTTTGAGAGTGAAGGTGACTCAGGAGGGCGTTATCTGGTCCTGTTGGCCTGCAGCTCTGTCCAGCTGGGTCAGATATGGCTCTGGGACGTGGCCAGTGCAGCCCATCACTGCCTTGTTTGTGTGAGCTGTTTCAGCTCAGCCCGTCGCTGTTCGGGCAGCTCTGATCGATGCCCACATGTTGATGCCGTGCTCACGTCTCCCGTGCTCATCGTGGACCCTTCCCAGGCTGGGGTGCCTGAGTTTGTCTGCCGGCTGCGCTTTGTGCTGCAAGGAGAGGGGGTGTTCATCTCTGGGAACGCAGGAGGTACTTGGTAGTGTTGCGGGAGCTCCGTGGCCTGTCTGAGCTGCATGCCGTGCCCTCTAACTCGCAGCAAATAACCTTGCAACCGCTTATTTTCTCAGCATACAGTAATCACCTTGTGTCTGGGGAAACAAAAGCCTTGATCTTTGGTAGCTCCCATTTGAACTGGGTGGTAGTGAAGTGGGACAGGCTCCCACAAGTGCTGCAGTGAACATGAGGTGTTTGGGGGTGTTTAGTCACAGGCCTGGGGCGTGAATAACCCGTAACAAACCCATCTGGCACCGGTCAGGTCTGGAGTGGAGCTCGGCGTGAGAGGGAGGTGCTTGCAGCTGATGCCCCCATATGTCTTTTGGGGCCCCTGATCGCCCCCCACGTCTTTAAAGCCAGTTCAGCAGCAGAGGATTTTAGCCCCCAAATTCCTCTGGTCTCTGTTTTAAGGTGCCTGCTTTCAGTATCAGCCCTCTCCTAAAAGGGCACTGGTCTCTGCTGGGGGTCAGATCTCTCCTTCCTTGACCAGGTGTGTTTATTCTTCCAGACTTTTAAAGCTTTAGTATGAAAACCTAATCATTCCTTTGAGAAATGTGAAATGGGTTTATTTAGGGCTCTGACATTCGACCTTACTCATGTTTTCCTTGAGTTTGGGCAAACTTGGTTTTGTAATGCTGAGTTGTTTCTACATTTATGGGGAAACTGTCACAGGATTTCTTAAGAAAACATCTTCAGGCATTCAAGAAACAAACAAAATCACTCCAAACCCCGCTCCTTTGTGCCTGGAGGTCGTGGTGCATACATTGAGGGTTGTGTATGATCATGAACTGTAAGTGCTTAATAATGGCGTAAGGAGTTCCTGGGAAGCGTGCCGATGACCTGTGCCGCTGTTGGCACATCTGGAGCAGGAAGGAGGTGTTGAAACCTCCTCTCCTTCAGTGGCCGGGGCTGAGTCACCTCAGCGGCCTTGACCCACGAGTGGGGCCGTCTCCAGAGCGGCGCTGCCAGAGCCTCCCTTTCTACGCTCCCAGGGCCGTTCCTTCCCCCGCGTCCAGGCTGGTCACGCTGGTGGCAGTGGTGGCCATGCTGGCCTGGCCCAAAGCTGGAAGATGTTTGGCAACGCAGGTCTCCAGTCCGGTGCTCACCTTTGGACTCTGCTTTCATTCGCTGAACCCCCGGGCTCTCACTGCCAGGGCGGTTTGAAAAACACCCTAGGTCTGTCCTGCAGCTGCTGCTTGTACCCCTAATCCATTTATTACTAATTTGGCTCTGTGGAGTTATCTCTGCTGAGATGACAGCTCTGATTTCGCTGTTTGTCTGACAACAAGTGTCACACATTTCCTCACCTGGCTTGTGACACCGGGCAGACCGCGCGGCGTTCCTCCCCCAGAGCCACTGTTGCCTTCATGCTGTGTCTAAAAGCCTCTGCCGGGCACCTCGGTGAGCAGCGATGAGGAGGGTGAGCGGGGCGAGAGCTGCCCTGGCAGGGCTTGGAGCGTGGCAGGGAGGGAGGGACGCGTGCGCCGCTCTGAGGATTGAGCGTGGCCCCTTGCAGTGGCTGAATTCTTCTTTTGCTTGTAGAGGGTGAATTCTTGCTTTGCACTAACACTTTGCACTAATACCTCTTCAACTCATAGCTGGCTTTATAAAGTCACCGCTGTCTCAAAAGAGACTGACGCAGGACAGCGTGGAGTTGTACTGCGAGGCGATTGGCAATCCCATCCCCGAGATCCAGTGGTGGTTCGAGGGGGACGAGCCCAATGAGACCCATGCTCAGCTCTGGGATGGCGCACGGCAGGACCGTGTCAAAATCAACGCCACCTACAACCTGCACTCCACCAGCACCATCTCCATCGCAAACCTCACGAGTGACGACTCGGGCATGTATGAGTGCCGGGCCAGCAACGACCCCGACCGCAACCACTTGTCGAAGAGCCCCAAAGTCAAGTGGATCCGTTCCCAGGCGAACATTTTTGTCATCGAACGTGAGTGGCCACGCCAAGGCCTTCCACTTGCTCGGACA